GGGACTTTGACATTCAAGAAAAGCAATGTAAGGAGCTTATTGTTGGTTATAGTTCCTTATTAGGCATCCCCTTTGTAAAAGAAGCAAAATATCCAGACATCCCTTTTAAGATATATAGTATTTCTATTCCTGATCGCAAAACATTCCTAGAGAAGATATGATGAATGCAGGCTCTCTTCCATTACCTCCATACTTGTTACTGTAGTATGGCAAAGTATGGCTGGTCCAAGACATTTGTTTACTAAGGTAGAACCATCAAGAGTGCCCTCCATTCATCCAAGACAAGGTGGCTAGTACCCAAGGCCGGGCAAGTTAAATCAAGTAGGGATAGAATAAACAAACAACTTCCTTCTCTTTCAAAACACCCACAATTCCTGCTTGAGGTAGCCAGTTCAATCTTTTTAATAACATGGGCTTCCCTGCCATAAAGATAGCAACAGAAGCAGTTTGTATATTGAACAGAGCCAAATATGAGCACTGATATACTGTGAAGTTTGAATTTACTGTGTCAGCCCTTGATGTGTAAGTTCAGCAAATAAACAGAAATACCAAAGATAAATTGTTCAAATCAAATGCCTGCTTACATTTGATCATCATAACTAAAATATAATTTGAATATGAAATGTCTTTGCAATTTAGCCTCAGAATTTTATTTAACATGTTGAATAGATGCAAATTACAAGTACTTCTGTGGAAATGGAAACTGCTCATGGGCATTTACTTTAAACTAGTTTTTAGTTTAAATGCAGTATATATCTAATTGTGTGACTAATAATATTGATCCATGGTACAATGCACTGTTACGAGCATATAAAGGAGGAAAGGAGGAAAAGAGTCGGGGGGGGGGGGGATGTGGCAGCACCTTTAAGACTACATGGCATGAGCTTTTGTGGATATAAAGCCAATTCTGTGGAATCGATACGGAATGAACACAGAACAAAGTCTGCTATGTAAATCTGGAAGCAGTTTTAAATAACTGACCTTATTAATATAATGTCATATTTCTGTATTATTACTATCTGATTTCTAGCTTGCAACTTATTTTTATCTAAATTACCTGTCAAACATTTTTTTTATCTCATTGAGTGTAGAAATAATGTATTCATTTGATAGCAGTTTGTAGAAATGGTTTAAGGCACTCTGAAATATGAATATCAAGGAGTATCATATTCTAGAAGGGATAATATCTATGACCTGGGAGACAGGGATGAGAAAGAGAAACTTAGATCAGAATACCCACAAGATTAAAACTGCAGGAAAACTATGGGCACACCTGAACTGTAGAACTTATGCAGTTTTATACCACTCTCTGGCATGACTCAATGCCAAAGGATCATGAGAGTTTGGGTTTACTCTTTTCCACCAAAGAGTGCTGATCCCACACCAAAATTACAAATGCAAACTAGCTCTGCTGTTTTGTCCCTCATTCTTTTTTATTTCATAAATGTTCCACTTTCTGTTTTTATACACTTAAACGTTTCAGATATTTCCTCAAAGTCACATCTTCCTTTGATTTCTTTTCAACTCCTCTGTTCCATTTCTGCTTTTATGTCAATGATTTTTTTAAAAGTGAGTCCGTATCAGCTCAGTTTTGCTAGTAAACCATTTCCTTCACTTTTACATTGCCTCCCTCCCCAGTTGCCTTAGATTCTAAGACACAATATAAACATAGCAGCTGCTATAAGGAAGCTGCCAAAAAGCACTTATCAGTGCCAATGTTCAGTGCAATGGGGATGACATTCAGAAGGCTATAAAGCTCTGTCAAGGGACCTATAAGAAATCAGCATCTTTGTGCCTGAAAATTTTGGTCCAAATGTCAGCAGGAATGATGTACATATTTTTCAGCTGAATGAAGTGGTGTATGGGTTAAGGGTTTTAAAATGTTTCTGCCACATGCAGCACCAAGGTTATGTACTTTGGGCAGCCAGGAGGTGGCATTCATCATTAAAATTGCACTCAGTAAGCAACCTCTTTTGCGTTTCACTCTATAAAGTGTGAAACACAAACTCCTGTATTCTATTCTCTTTCTCAGTGCTGCTGCTGTGTCACTCTTCTGTTCATAGAACACCTGTAGTGATGTTCTTCCAAAAAGACCATCCAGATGTTTCTAAATTGAATACCATTCCTAACTGTGCAGTGTGTTTAACTGATCTCTTATTATACCCAGTTTTTTTTGCATTTAAATGAGACTGTGCAGGACTTTCTGGGTGAATTAACCTCCTTTATAGATATGTTAAATTTGATAGCACTGTGGTTACTTTCCACAATTAGTACAGCAGCACTTATAAAATATCAGCAGTAGTCATTGGGCTTATGTGGGGAAAGAACATGAATTTTGTTGGATGAGTATCATTGTAGTTCCAGTCTGTATCAGGGCATGTTTAAGACACCAACTGGTGCAAATAGTAGGCATATGTGCCCTGATAAAAAATGAAGTTATAGGAGGGGCTAAAGTTAAAGCTCTCACAAAGTCTCATTAGAATTCTGGTCTAGAAGTTCTTTCACACTAAACAGTATGAGTCCACTTTAACCACTTTGGTTGCCACCTAAAGAACCAGGGGTTTGGTGAGAACTTTCTGGCTGAGAATTCTAAATACTATATTTTATCACATAATAGTTGCACCCCAATTTGGGAGTCCAAATATTGGTATTTTTTGCTTTCCTCATATAATATTCATAACCTTGTTTCATTGCTCCAATGTACTGCTGGCAAGAAGTACAGAGTGCCGCCAGCCTCAGAAGAAAACCTCACCACTGTAAACAGTCTATCTCAGCTTCCCTTGCCGTGTGTCTTGCTGCACTACATCTTTGCCTGCCCACCTGCCCCCATTCAGCTAGGGTGGTTCACTCATTTACCTACCCACCTATCCACTTCCTTTTAGGTATATTTTTTCACTCACCCACCCACCCACCCACCTTTTTAGGCATGGCATTTTGCTCGCTCACTCATTCACCTGCCTGTTCGCCTTTCAGGCTCAACAGAGTTCAAAAGCACTGGGATGAAGAGATCAAGTGTGAGTGAGACATCCTAACTAAAAGGGGAAAGGTGGGCAGGCAAAGCTGCAACGTAGTGCCACAAGATATGTAAAGAAGGAAGTCTAGCTAGACTAGTTTCAGCAGCAGTTGAATACTAAAATATTTTTGGTACATAAAACTGGTCCAATGTTTTTCTCTGGTAATAGTTGCACCCACCCCACCCATTTTCTGTAAAAAAAAAGGAATAAAAAGTGTGATTTTTATGTGAGGAAATGTGGTGCTCCCCCTAAATTGCAAATTTATTGGAGCTTGGCTGAGGGAAAAGCAATGATGTTTTCCCTAAACTACTATTTGCAAGACTTGTATTTCCAATCCCAGCATTTCTGTGAAGGCGTTTATCCTGCATATATTTTTAGTGTTGCTATGCCCACACTGATCAAGAAATGATTTTACCTGCTTATTTGACAGTTTATATCCAAAATTAACCACATCAGACTGATTCCATGTGTCTGTTAAATGCCAAACCTTACAGTTTCTTATCTTGATTGAGACAGTTAGCATTGTGTCACTCTCCGATATCCATAACATTCATATTTTCCATTACAACTCTTAATCTTCCTTAAGTGCTCATTGCCCGGTGGATATCAGTTCTGTACTTATTGGAGGGAGGGGCTTGTTGTACAGTAACAAAGTGAAGCTTGCACTATGCCTACTTGAATGCACGAGTCCAGCATCATGTAGTTAGTCAAGATCAGGCAATCAGGAGAATTTGTTCAAAGGACATCCAGAGGGCATTGCAGGAAAATAGATTCCACTTAACATTAGGAAAAACTTCCTGATGGTTAGAGGTTTTTGTCAGTGGAATATGCTGCCTCAGAGACTGGAGTCTCCTTCTCCTGGAGGTTTTTAAACAGTGGCTAGATAGCCATCTGTTGGAAATGCTTTCATTGTGTGTTCATGCATGGCAGAGGGTTCATCCGGCTGGCCCTTGTGTCTCTTCCAACTCTATGATTCTACGATCATTTAATAGCAAGATTTCTGTTAGGATCAGTCAGTGCATATCTGCCAAACATCTTGCTCACATTTCCTTTTTTTGAACTGAAATCAGACTGGCCTGCACTAAGATTAAGCAGGTCAGCCAAACAAAGTGGAATGCACTCCTGTGGAAAGAACATGCAAACTCATCCTTGGCTGCTTTACAGAACTTGACAAATTTCTATGTGCTTTGCGTTCTTTTTAATAATCAGCTGCTGGATCTTGTTTACAGGCAGTCCTCAAGTTATGAACAAGCTAGGTTTTGAAGGTTTGTTCTTAAGCTGAATTTGTTTCTAGGTCAAAGCAGGTCCAATTTTTAACTTTAACTCCAGATATATAGATATAGATAATATGCATTTGCTTTGGATAGCATAGGGAAGGATAACACCTCTGTGGTGTTGTTTTGCTGTTTGTGCCTCTATTCAAAAGATTTCACCCCACGGTGATAACTGGATTTTGAAAAAAATGTGGCTTGTTGTGGAAACAAGGACTGGTGATAAGGCTATAGTTGAGACACCTTTTCCCCATGATAACTCTTCCAAGGGTGAATTTCCCTTCCTAGGGGTAGATTTAGCTCACTTCCTGTTGCTTCAAACCCCTTTTAACTATGAGTCATTTGTAATGGTTGTAACTTGGGGACTGCCTTTACTTGAAATATAATTGACTATTTAATTGTTCTGCATTGTTAATTTTCAATATAAACTGCTTTGTAAAACTTTTTTAAAGGTGTATGTGTATATAAAGTAAATGACTACAAATCTTATGCTAGCAATATTTTTTTAATCAAGGTTGCATGTAGCAAACTATTGTGAACATTTTGAATAAGGTAAAATAGTTCTTAATGAATAAGTTAAATCCTCTATTGCTTGTATTTACTTGACTAGAAAGTGAAGCAATAAATCCCAGTTCAGAAATAGATAACGACTTGGTAAATCATTATTAAAACCTATGTTATTGTTAATCATTCATTTTGTATTCTTTTGTTTTAGAATCACAACTACTGCAGCTTGTATGATGGACTTGAGAAGATATCCACTAGACGAACAGAACTGTACACTAGAAATAGAAAGTTGTACGTATAACTGTGCTATTTTTCACTTGTTTCAGTCATATACAGTCATATGTAGAATATATACATTGCAAACCCTCTGAACATGAGCCAATGTAGTCATGAAGAGCATTGACACTGTTAGGTATCTGTCAAAGCTCATGTCCTGGACAGTTGTCCTGTGTCAAAGAGCTACTTGGAGCCCTGCAATGCCTTTCCTTGTTGTTGTTGCCTGTTGATCTATCTTCTCCAGGAGGTAGTAGTGGAACCAGCCATCTGCTTGCTTTGTCTTTTCTGATTGGGCAGCAGGAATAGTGTAGATTGGCCTCAGAAAACATATGGGTAGCAAAAGAGTAGCAACTGAACTGAAGAGGAACTGTTTTCTGAATTCATCTTGATATATATCTACTATGCATTCCCAAAACTAATGCCATACACACCGTGAACCTAGCAACTTAGAATATCAGTTACACACACAAATATCAGTTTAAAACATTATCACATAATAAAAATCCATATAAAATCTAATTCAAACTTTAATAATTAATGTCTACCAGTTCGATTCCTTATCCATTTGCATTGTCTAACCCGTTCTGTGTTCGTTATTTCATCATACTGTTTTTAAACAATTATGCCGTGTTACCAAAAGTTTGCTCGAAGAGCCAGGTTTTTACTCTTTTCTGAAAGGTCAGGAGGGAGGGGGCCAATCTAATATCCCTGTGAAGGGAGTTCCACAGCCAAGGGGCCACCACTGAGAAGGCCCTGTCTCTCGTCCCCACCAAGGGCACCTGTGAGTAAGGCAGGATCAAGAGCAGGGCCTCCCCAGATGATCTTAAACTCCTGGATGGTTCATAAGGAGACCTACATTCAGACAGGTAAGCTGGGCCAGAACCATTTAGAGCTTTATAGGCTAAAGCGAGCACTTTGAATTGTGCTCGGTAGCAAACTGGCAGCCAGTGGAGCTGTTGCAATGCAGGATAGATTCACCTTGCTCAAGACACCACCACACACCAAGGCTGTAGGTTTTGTAGTTTATTGAGAAAAAAGCAAAACCAAAACAGAAAAATAACGAGGTAAAGTTCAATAGGCAAAACAGAGTCTTAAATGCAAAGGCAAAATATCCAGGTTTCAAAGGCAAATAACATGAAGCATAGTCCTTTAGCATTGGTTAAGCAAGAGCCAATGGCAGCAAGACAAAGTCTCCAAAAATCGGGATTAAATCCAAAGTCCTAAAGAGCCAGAAGCTTTCCGCAAAAGCCAAGGTAATTCCACAAAAGTTAACAGGGTAAAAGCAACCTTGGACTGACAAAGAATGCCCTTCGACCAGATCATTAAATAAATTTCCCCGACATGAAAACATTACATTGACCTCTAGCTTCACGCTTGTTGGCAAGGTGTGCGCTTCTCCGAACTCTTAATTGCAAACGGTCTTCTCTAATCAAATCTCCACTATTTTCAAGGCCAGTTAGCTCATTATCTTTGCCCTGCCAGGCCTGGCCACCCTGGGAAACAAGAGGCTTGGAGCTCCCAGAAGGAGCCTCCACTTGGAGCTCCGAAGTTTCACTATCCTTATCTAAAGCCACATTTTTTCTCTGGGGAACAGAATCAACACTGTCTGCTTCAACTGCCTCACTAACAGGAACATGTTCAGAAATCTGTAACACATCATCCTCCTCGTCTTGAGGAAACTCAGGTTCAGAAAGCTCAGGCTCAGACTGAACCACAACAGGAGCTGACACAACAGAGGAGTTGTATGCTGGTGTTTGTGTTTTAATCAGATTAACTTTGAAGAAAGTAAGCACTGTGTATTATGGATGAGTGATCTTTCTATGCCCCCCGGGTTGTCAGACAGATCTACTTATGAATTGAAATCTATTTTCACAGAATAAGTAGAATTTCTTCAATCTGGTTGTTTTCCTGGTCATTTTTAAAAAAATATGTACAATGCCCACACTTTCTTCTTCAAATTGGTGTGTTTAGAAGGAGATTTTTACATATGTAAAATATCAATGCACACTAATGAACTCTTTCGTGCGAGTTTCATTTGGCCTGTTCCCAATCGTCTTGAAGTTCATGGGAGCTTTGGCATGGATTTCAAGGAGAGACCATCTGTCTCAAATTTGTCTTGCAACGCTGCTGAAACGTTCTCCTGATTTTTTTCCAATGAGACTTCAAGGATTTACTTGTTGAAATAGTTGTGTTTGAGGTAAATTTATGCAGATTTATTTAGGGGACTGAATATTCATTTTCTTTTTATTTAATCACCTCGCTACTTATATCCCAGCCAGGATTCAAATGGTAACAACTTTCGTGGCATAATTTGTGGACGAGATGAGTTTCATCCTTTTACCAGTGCAGTGATTTTAAAAAAACTGTCTTTCAAAAACTATTTCTTGTATTCTTGATGTTGTTTCTGTGTTGAAACAGAAGTGTAGATAAGTTTTGATTCTCTGTGGCTAAATAATTAGGAGAAGCATTTTATTCATAAAGTAAAATATTTCATAAAATTACTCAGATAGTTGTATCTCTGTGCTTGTTTTTAACCTGCATTTGTTGGGCATTTTCCTTTGTAAGCTGCCCCGAGTCCCTTCGGGGAGATGGAGGTGGGGTATAAAAATAAAGTTGCTGTTGTTGTTGTTATCATCATCATCATCATCATCATATCTGCTTCTACATTGCTACATACACACACCCTGATTTTCCTTTTTATTTAGAAAAAAGGGTTGTTTATAGTGAAAACAGACCTTGAATTCTTTATCATTTGTTCTTTCCATTTCTCTCCCCTTTGTTGATGCAAGGGCCTTTGGTCAGAAACTACAAGATTCACAACCAATCAGCACTATGTATCATGACACTGCGATGATGCCATATAGAAGTCATATTTGCTAATAGTACACAACAGTAAAGATACCTCAGAGAATGGTGTACAATTCTGCCAATCTGCTAATGAAACTGATTTCATGAGCTGTGATAGGAAGGAGGCCATTCCATATAAAATCTAATTAAAACTATAATAATTAATGTCTACTTGCAATCCAAGTTTTGAGACAGCATTGAACATTGCACAGAATAGAGAAGAAATTACTGTCATGCTTACGTTAGATTTAAGTCAGTTAGGACCTGAATTGCTGAAAGATGTACTGCATTTCACAAGGATGAAAGTGTTTCTGAAAAAATGTCCTGTTTTGCCTTAACTATATTTTTCTACCCTTTTGCACAGGGTTAAAATTATTTTTAAACATAACTTCCTCACATGGGGGGCAAAGGAGGAACAACCGTGCAACAAATATCAGTTAGTTCTTTTGAAATGTCATTACACCTCTAATTCTTAGTATGAAGCTAAAGGTTTTGTCCTGCCAATTAAAATAATCATCTAAACAGCAAGATAGATAAATATATCTGATGAGCCATTTTTCCACTCTCCAACATTAGTACCAAAAGGGTTACAAATTGGTTTTTGGTCAACTTTAGTTTTGGTTTGGGGTACTGATTCAGAAAATTGCTTTGGATAGACTACATCAGGTGTAGTTTCTGATACAGAACATATGCCAGGGTCAGTGACAGGGAAGGAGTGGCAGGCGGCGTGAAAGGAACGGAAATAAATTAAATTAAATTAATAAAGAGGAAGGAGGCTCATGGATTTTCATCTTTACGACCACTGGTTGTCCACGGCCCACAGGTTAAGTGCCACTGGATTGAGGATCTATGAAGACAAAAGCAAATTTGGAAATGAAAAAAATAACAAAGACATTTACACTTTCTGTAGCAACTGTCAATCTTAAAATTTGATACTCAAGAGAATTTGTACTTTCTTAACAGATGGATACACAACAGATGACATAGAATTTTACTGGAGAGGTGGGGATAATGCTGTAACTGGGGTGGAGAGAATTGAACTTCCTCAGTTTTCTATTGTGGAGTACAAACTGGTATCCAGGAATGTTGTCTTTGCCACAGGTAAGTACTTCTTGTTTTTTTTTAAAAAAAAATCAAGCCTTATTATCTCCCATATACATACCTATCTTTGTCTTTATAGGAGCAGAAATTACTTGAATTATGTGGCCATCTTTGGTGTTATAATGGTTGAACTAAATTAACTAACATGTTAATAATGTTTGTACAAAGCTTTAAAAAATGGAAAGATTGCACCCCAAACCATCATAAGGCTTTGATAAAATAGTTGGATTGAATATTTTGGGAATAGTAATATATTAACAATTTAATTTTAGCTAAAGATTCCAGCAACTAGATCTTTGAATGAAAATTTCTATCCTATTAAAACCCTCTCAGCAAACTTTCTAAAGATTGTGCCAGTGGTGACACAGAAATGGCAGAATTAGGGGCAGGGGGTGACAAATGTGTAAATGATAATAGAAGCAATACTTAAAGTGTGTTAATTGGTTCAGTAGATAACAGCTGCCTAATGTGAATAGTGTGTTCTGAGCCAAATCCTCAGAAATCCTGGATACATTTTTCCAAGTATGACTGTGTGTGATTAATCATGCTGATTAGGAAACAAAGTAACAGAGGAATATGTTTAGATCAAATGCAATTTCAACATCATGTTGGTTTTCTATTGTTAGATTAAGAAACTTAAGAAAAACTAGTAAGAACTGTGAATATTCCTCCTTTTTTAACAGGTGCCTATCCAAGACTGTCACTGAGTTTTAAGTTGAAGAGGAATATTGGATATTTTATACTCCAGACTTACATGCCATCAATACTGATTACTATTTTATCATGGGTGTCATTCTGGATCAATTATGATGCGTCAGCTGCAAGAGTTGCTCTTGGTATGAAATGGAGATATGTGGAACACTGCATGTGTCATGGTGCCTATGGGTTGCCAGGGATTGCAATATGATAATATTCAAGACTGGTTGTACAAAACTAATTTCATTTAAATGAAGACTTTGTTAAGAAATGGAGGCTTGCATTTGAATATCTAGAAAAGAAGACAAAAATAGATTTCAAAGTAGTCACAAGGGGAATTTATTAATGTAGGATAATGATAGGGCTTTTTTTGAGACATTCATTTCACACTGGGTGGTGCCAGAAGTCATGGATGGTTGTTCACGGGTAGGGGGTTTGGGGGAATGACATTTCTGTATTATGTGTATTCTATTATCTTTAAATGTTTTCTTTCTCATATTCTGTAAGCTTTTGGTCACATAATAAAAAAACTTATTTTGAAAAAAATACTCTCATTTTAGAGCAGTTCGAGGGTATATTTATCCCTCAGTTGTATAACATCATTTGTAAATTCTCTGATTTTAATTGCCCAAATCAAGTTAAATTACGTTACCCATTAAAAGTGTTTTATTGGATTGAAAGAAAATTTTGGGAATGCAAATACTTAGTTAATTATTGAATTCTTGGAGGGGCATATTAAAGAAAGGAATAAAAATGTTTCTGTGTCTTCTCTTCTTCTCCCGGGTTTTCCACAGATTCTCTGTTCTTAGATATATTTACAAAGTTTGGGTAAGATCAGTATGTTTACTGGCAACTGTTCAGAGTTTCTAATTTCAAATAATCTTTTCCATATTAGCATGTCTACCGACCTACAGCACTCTTCAACACATTCAATTTAGATAAACATCTGAAGGGGGAAATGGTAGTGGTGGGGCAAGCTGTCTTTAAAGGAAGCTTGCTCCTCCTTTACCTTCCTTTCATTGAGACATCAGTGATATGTTTCCAAGTAACATCAGAAATTGAAAATCACTGGGCTATCTGTTCAAGGAATTTTAATTAGAGTTCCTTTTCAGTTGCTTATGTACCTACCACCTTAAGCTCTTTTAAGGGACTTCACATGTCACATTTTTATGCAATTTTAGTTCAGCAAAATCAATCTTATAGTAAGTCATGCATATGTATTTTGAGTGCATTTTTAGTACAATATAGTCATCCTAATAAATGTTATTTATCTTATTCTACATTTTGTTTTTCCTCATTCATTCACATACTGATCTTATTAAATGAGTCAGCCAAGAAATCTTGGCTAAAACACCACTATGAACTTCACCATAGGCTTTATAATAACTTCAGTCTGTGCTACACTGTTGCCTGAGAAGAAAAGATAGATTATGAATTTAGACAAAATAATTTGGATGCCCATATATCAATTTCATCCAATTCCTTCCAACATTCAAAAGATAACAGCTTTCAGAATTAAATAGAGGACTAATGCATGGAAGGTATTAATATATTTGCCTTTCTTCCCATTTTTAGGTATTACAACTGTTCTTACTATGACAACTATCAACACTCATCTCCGAGAGACTTTGCCCAAGATTCCCTATGTCAAAGCCATTGACATGTATCTTATGGGCTGCTTTGTATTTGTCTTCTTGGCCTTACTTGAATATGCCTTTGTTAACTACATATTCTTTGGAAAAGGCCCTCAAAGGCAGAAGAGACTTGCTGAAAAGACAGCCAAAGCAAACAACGATCGCTCTAAATTTGAAAGCAATCGGGTAGGGCTCTTTACATTGTCTATAAGTCTGACTTGTTACTTCAGATCACTAGGGTTAAATGTACTTATCTTGCACACTAGTTTGTATTACTGACTTATGTGGAACCATATCCACATCCATCTCTTTAAATAAATATACTCTTAGTCATAAAGAACACCTTTAGAACAAAGAGAGTGGGAGAAGGAGTAAATATTTATAGAACTGTTGTAAAACATACATCTAGGAGGCTGCAGATTAAGAATTGTTGGCATCAAAAAGCAAAGGATACACAGATCTGGGAATTTCTTCCATTAGTGTTATTTGATTTAATTTCTTTTTTGTCTGGATGCTAAAAACAGTGTAAATGCAAAAAAAAATCATTTAGCTTTGGGAATTGTTTTTAGTGCACTATCAACACAAAATATCCCCCAATTAATTAGCAAAAAATACCCCTTTGCTGAATCTGTGCGTTTGCAGTGAAAATTGATGGTGAATGGAAATTGTTGTCCTTCCTTTCTGAGCTCTGCTACTTAATTCAACAAGATATTTGTGTGGTGTTAATTGAATTACATTTAGCTGTCATAAATCATGAAAACTGTTGTAGTAAGATTTCTGAAACCCTAAACCTCAAACCTATACTGCAAGCAATAGCTTCCTTTCTGCTGTCAAAAGTAGAAACCTAAATACAAGGCAAATGTCTAGAGAACCAAGAAAATATTTGATTATAGTCCTTAAATTCTTGTTTACTAGTCATTTCTCTGTAGTTATCTTTTTATAAGTCACCACCCCAAGCAATCATAACTGATGTTCATCTGATAGCAATGGATGAGAGTGCTAAGAATTCAAATCCAAAAAGCTATACTGGAGTAGGAGGTATTTTATTTAGAGAGCTTATCAAGATGATTTTGTACATACTATATCCATGGATTCAGTGAGTATGACATACAAGTGGAAGTATTTAAATATAGAAAAGGATGTTTTTTTTAAAAAAAAATTAAATACAAATGCTAAAGTGGAGGTGATCCCTGTAATGGTGACTTCAGATGAATAAATTTTAGTCTGATACCATACTTTAAAAAAAAGTTAAATGTACACTCTAACTTAGGGTGAAGAATGATATTCTAGGTTCAAATACTTGATTTTAACTAACAGCAATCATTTGAACCAATTTAAAACATTTATTTATTTATTTATACCCCGCTTTGTCTCTCCCAGGGGAAACAAGTGTCTTGACATAAAAGCATTAGTATACAATTTCAAATATACAAATATATAAACATTAAAACAGAATTAAACATGTTGTTGGTGTTCATTCGTTCAGTCGTCTCCGACTCTTCGTGACCTCATGGACCAGCCCATGCCAGAGCTCCCTGTCGGCCGTCACCACCCCCAGCTCCTTCAAGGTCAATCCAGTCCCTTCAAGGATGCCATCCATCCATCTTGCCCTTGGTCGGCCCCTCTTCCTTTTGCCTTCCACTTTCCCCAGCATAATTGTCTTCTCTAGGCTTTGCTGTCTCCTCATGATGTGGCCAAAGTACTTCAACTTTGTCTCTAGTATCCTTGCCCTCCAGTGAGCAGCCGGGCTTTATTTCCTGGAGGATGGACTGGTTGGATCTTCTCGCAGTCCAAGGCACTCTCAGAACACTTTCCTCCAACACCACAGCTCAAAAGCATCGATCTTCCTTCGCTCAGCCTTCCCTAAGGTCCAGCTCTCACATCCGTAGGTGACTACAGGGAATACCATGGCTTTGACTAGGCAGGATCTTTGTTGCCAGTCTGATGTCTCTACTCTTTACTATTTTATCGAGATTGGACATTGCTCTCCTCCCAAGAAGTAAGCGTCTTCTGATTTCCTGGCCACAGTCTGCATCTGCAGTCATCTTTGCATCTAGAAATACAAAGTCTGTCACGGCCTCCACATTTTCTCCCTCTATTTTCCAGTTGTCAATCATTCTTGTTGCCATAATCTTGGTTTTTTTGACGTTTAGCTGCAACCCGGCTTTTGCGCTTTCTTCTTTCACCTTGATTAGAAGGCTCCTCAGCTCTCCTCGCTTTCGGCCATCAGAGTGGTGTCATCTGCATATCTGAGGTTGTTAATGTTTCTTCCAGCAATTTTCACCCCAGCTTTGCATTCATCAAGCCCCGCACATCGCATGATGTGTTCTGCATACAAATTAAAAAGGTTGGGTGAGAGTATGCAGCCTTGCCGTACGCCTTTCCCAATCTTGAACCAGTCTGTTGTTCCGTGGTCAGTTCTGACTGTTGCTACTTGGTCCTTGTACAGATTCCTCAGGAGAGAGACAAAGGTGGCTTGGGATGCCCATCCCACTAAGAACTTGCCACAATTTATTATGATCCACACAGTCAAAGGCTTTAGAATAGTCAATGAAGCAGAAGTAGATGTTTTTCTGAAACTCCCTGCCTTTCTCCATTATCCAGCGGATATTGGCAATCTGGTCTCTCGTTCCTCTGCCTTTTCTAAACCTAGCTTTTACATCTGACAATGCTCACCCCATGTATTGCTGGAGTCTTTCGTGCAGGATCTTGAGCATTACCTTACTAGCGTGTGAAATAAGTGCCACTGTACGGAAGTATTCCTCCTTATTTCCCTTTTTTGGTATGGGGATATAAGTTGATTTTTGAATTAAACATAAACACCACTAAATAATTCACAGTTAAACATATTCAAAATTAAAAACCACAGCACCTACTGACTAGATCTTAAACACCTTCATCTTTAAAAGTCAGTCTGAATAAAAAGGTTTTAGCCTGCTGTCGAAAGGACAACCTGGGAAGTCTCCTTCCCATCAACTGAGCTTGAGATGGAGGTGAGACCGAGAGAAAGGCCTCTCCTGAAGATCTCAGGGCCTGAGCAGGTTCATACAAGGGGATGCGATTAATAAGATCGTAACTTATTACCATAATATAACCAGTGCGTCTTAACCAGGAGATTCCACCTGAACATTAGGAAGAACTTCCTGACTGTAAGAGCTGTTCAGCAGTGGAACTCTCTGCCCAGAGTGTGGTGGAGGCTCCTTCTTTGGAGGCTTTTAAACAGAGGCTGGATGGCCATCTGTCGAGGTTGCTTTGAATGTGATTTTCCTGCTTCTTGGAAGGGGGTTGGACTGAATGGCCCATGAGGTCTCATCCAGCTCAATGATTCTATGATTCTTCAATAGCTGTCTAACTACACATCTGGCCAAAGACTCTCTCCCCTAATCATCACATCTTTGATAGAAGAATAATAATCCCAAAGTTCACAATATTCCTTCCTAGTGACAATAATTTCCCATTGACCACCACCCCCTTCCCATAGCAATCAACAAGCTCCACAGTGGGTAACATTGTTTTCTTTTTTCTTTTAAGTGAGTTGCATCTTCTTCTTATATGTCTAAATTACAACAATCTCAGTTTAGCCTTCTTGGGATTAGAGACTTCAGGCATGATTTTCTCTACAGCCCATTTTTAGCAGATCATGGTATCGATAGAACTCTTCTCCAGTGCAACATTTTAAATTTAAATGAGTTGAATTTCTTCCTATCAGCTTTTATAGAAATTGGAAATACAATGGCATGGACAATCCTGATTTTAGTATTCAATAATATATCTTTAAACTTATCTGGCTTCTTCATAGCTTCAAATGATGTGTTCGGTGTACAGGTTAAATAGAAAGGATGATAAAATACAGTCTTGCCTGACATGTCAGTAAATCGGTATTCCTAAAAAATCATCACAATTAAAATTACTTAGAAACTGGCATTAAGGCTGGAATGATAATATAATACCCTGTTCAGTATCTGCTAAATCCAATTGTTTTAAGACCCAGGCCTGTAATAAAATCAATGGGAATTTTGTCATTGTCATTAAGTAGAAATAGACACCTAATGCCTGTTTCACTGACATCTCTGTGACCTACTCACTTTCTATAATACAGAAGGATCAATTTCTAGTAAATGCAAAACTTCAGCTTAGGATGAGATCTTCAAGAACCACTTGATTTAAATATAGCATTGGCTGTAATTACATTTTAGGAACATCAAGTAACAAGTAGATTTTTGTCCTTAGCTGAACCATCACACTCAGTTAAAACACATTATGAATTCTGATTTTATTTCTAAATGAATTACATCTTTGCATTTGCCTAGCTGAAATGTAACTATCTATAATATATTATTATATATGCAGGGCTAGTACTGTTTGCATCTAGGCAAGAGGATGCTGATATGGGAAATGTGCATTGGATATTCCATCACTGTGATAAACCAAAACACAAAGGTGCATTTGCCTCATAGTGTAAACTGGGGATGCAAGGAAGGACAACACTGATTATGATGCCAGTTACTTCCAACTTGAGCAGCAATACCTACCTAGGATTTCATATTGCCTTTAGTGTGGAAACTTTTCTAAATGAGATACAGCACAATAATGAATTTCATTAGCTGAGTATACTGATTGTCTCTATTTCTGAGCAATTCCTGATGAACAACACATATTGAATGTAGTGTCCCATTTTCTCAATTATCCAAGCTGATTTGAATAAATGGAAGGGTGGGAAAGTTGCTCTTGTATTCCCAAAAATTACTCTGTTCCATGGTTTTTAAAGTTTTGGCATGCCATGGTATGACTGGCTATGAACACTGTATACTAACTTGAAAGGTGCATTTCCATTATAGAATTAATGCAGTTTGACATCACTTCAACCTCCATGGCTCAGTGCCATTGAATCCTGGAATTTGTAGTTTGCACCACCACTCTTTTGCAAAGGAGGCTAAAGACCTTGTCAACTACATGGCAATTAAAGTGGTGTCAAACTGCATTAATTCTACAATGTTAATGTATTCTAAGAGAGGAGAATTATGTTGCCTTCAAGTCCTACTCTAGATTCTCCCTGGAGGATAGAACTAATAAACAGTATGCTGCAGTCGATGGGCCTTTGGTCTTCTTTTAGTTCTTTGGAAAATTTTCAGACATTTGGAACAGATTGCCACTGACAGATTGCAGAAGTCCAACCTATAACCGAGTTCAGAAGTGGGGATCTGCCTTTAAACAATTTTACGAGTATTAGTTCTGTACTCATAATTGTTAACAGAAAATCCATAGTAGAGGAATTGTGAGATGCCACTCAAAGAGCAAACACTAGTAGCTAAAGTTAAAAAGTCATATCTATTAAGAGAACTACATTAGTGGTGAAGTATAGAAAAAGATTCTTTATGCTAGCTATCCTGACTTCATTCTAAGAGAACAAAGAGAGAGCAGAAAATTCCAGAGTTGGGCCGGAAACTTGAGTAGAAGTGGAAAGCCAGAGAATATCAATGTGTATTATAGCTGGGGACAGTACAGATAACTTAAGAAAGGAAATGGGACAGGTTGCCTTACTAACTTCCTTAACTTCTTATCTACTAATCTTCCCATTGCCACCATGAGGTGATATTTCTTATGCAGAACACTGTTGAATTCTAGCAATAACAATAAACAATAAAAAAAGAATCATTCTTCCAAGTAGGATTTCCAGGTTGAATATGGGAGATGTTTTTACAGCTTCAATAAGTAAGTACAGTGTCCCATTGGTATTCACTGGGGTTTGGTTTCAGAGCAGCTTGTGGGTATCAAAATCCATGGATGCTGAAGTACCACTAAATACAATGAGAGAGTAACATGATATTCCCTATATAAAATGGAGGGGGCGCTTGAAGATCTGGTAAATAAAGAGAGGCTACAGCAGGATGTGCCTATCCATCAGCATAATGCTCGCCATGTAGTTCATTCAAGGTTGGCTTTTTGGATTTGAATCCAGGGATGCAGAGCTCATGGATAGGTAAGGCTTACTGTAGATTCTGGGTCAGAAAGCCGTACTGTAAAGTTCTGTGGAATTATGGCACATTTCCCTCACCATCCAAAACTCACCTTTTACCTGATACAGTCCCTCAAACACAGCTGTCTACTGGCTAGTATAAAATGGGAAGGCAATGAAGAAGCATCCAGTTCTGTTTCTGTAATGTAACTGGACATACAAAATCAGTCTCATGTTGCAAGAGTCATACACATAGCTGTGTTGGGAGCAGGGGCAAACTGCATCAACTGATAAATTGGTTTGGCGAGGGCAAGGAATGAAATATGCCATATTTCAGAAGATCTTCCTGATCTAGGATCTGCTGACAATAAAACCTACAAGAGTCCCATCCTGTATTCAACCTGGCAGCCACACTTCAAGGTGTGGCTATATTTCTTAAAGCAACTTTATATTATGTATGTACAGCAAGGCTGGGAAAAATGTTGCCTTCCAAACATTGTTGATTTTCAACTCCCATTAGCCCAAGTCATCATAGTACTTGTTCAGCAATGTACAGAGTTATTTTGCAATAACATTCGCAGGGCCAGACATCCGATTGCCCTCATGTCCAAAATAAAGAATTATGAGGGGAAAAAAAATCTTTGAATATTGTTTTCAGCTTCCAACATTAGGCAGCGGCACCATTTTTTGTTTGTACAGAGACATTACATAATGATCATGCTCTGTAATAGTCAACATTGGCAGCATTGAAGTCCCAACCTGGCCACTGAGAAACAAGAAAGGGTATCAGAATCTTAATCCAGGTGCAGAAAAAGAAAAGATTCTTTCAATAAATGACATAAATCTAATAGGGTACTGGGGAAGGGTATGTCTTTGATTAAGTAAAGAATATGCAGCAACATTTTGGGTGAGCTGGAAGATGTACAGCAATGGTAATCCTACCTAGAGACGACTTATTAAATGAACAGGATTTAAGGTAGTTCATATTAATACATTTTGTTCATTTCAGTGAATGTACTCTAGACTTTATCTTCCTCTTTATATTGTTTTATATTCATACTGTTGGAACAGTTCCTAAATAGCATGATTTGTTTTATTTTTAAGAGCTAATTGTATGCCTGTAGACTATACCTTCTTTTCTGATTATGAAGTCATTCTGTATGTTTTTATGTATTAATGTATTTTATGTATTAAAACCATTTTGAAACCATCAAATTATGTATTTGTTTCTAACTAGGTGGACATGCATGGGAACATTTTGCTGACATCCCTGGAGATTCACAATGAAGTTGCAAGCAACGAGGTCACTACAAGTGTCAGTGATCCTCAGAATTCAACAATATCCTTTGACAACTCAGGGATCCAGTACAGAAAACATAGTTCACATCGAGAAAATCTTGGAAGGCGTACTTTGGACAGAACTGGCACCCATACTAAGAAGAGTCATTTACGAAGAAGGTCATCACAGCTAAAGATAAAAATTCCTGATCTAACGGATGTGAATGCCATAGACAGATGGTCAAGAATGGTGTTCCCATTCACATTTTCTCTTTTCAACTTAATCTACTGGCTATACTATGTCAACTAAATTGACTTCTACTTTTTTAACAAAAGACTTCAACAAGCAAAATACTTCTCTGCCTGTTACTTTTTATGTGTACATAAGAACTTTTGCACTATATATATATAATATACGTATATATATATTTAAAATCCTGTTTATGTGTGTATATATATTGTGAAATAATGTGTATTATACCCATTGTGCATACACATATACACATATACATATATACATTCTCTTTCTGTCTGTTTCCCGCTCCTTCTCTGGATGATAATGGACAATTTAACACACAATGCACATTTATGAGCTTTTTGAAACATTGAGAGGCAAGTACTCTCATATATTAGATTTTAAGAAAGCTAATTGTTGTATAAGACCACCCAAACAGTTGTCAGTTCTCTATTCCATAATGTTAGAATTCTGTGATATTGTTTGCAAATTCTTATGATTTTCACTGCTCATTAACTGATAAATTGCACTGGTAAGTTTTTTTTTAAAGAAATTTATATTTAATGTCAGGTTTACAACCACTGGGCCATATTGATCATAGTTTTTTGTTTTATATATTATCATAGATAATGTTACCTTCCTTAAATTGACATTGTTTTTCATGAATCATGTTTCTTCTGTTGTAGTAACTTAAATATTGTTCAAAAATGGGTTTGTCTAGTATTCATAGGACTTTTAATACATTCATCTTAAAGATCTATTTAATAAGCAAAGAGGTGGTTTATTATAAGCACTCCACACTTCAGTGCACAATATAATATTTTATAATTTGAGCTTTTCCCAGATATTTTTCTGTATTGATGAGGGAAAACATCCATCTATTTAATGCTATAATAATACAGTCGTAAATGTAGCTGCTACTGATATTTTCAGAATTTTCTTTTCTTATCAGAGATTAGGAGTTATTTAATATTATTTTAATATCTATCAATCAATTTATTGAATTGGGTTAGTCTAATAACCATTTTGAACAGCTACTAATGATAAAACAATACAATTATAAATGCCATGATACAGTTACAATAAAAACATTGGTTTGTCACCTTATGTTAAGGTGACACTGAGCCAAATTAAAAATACACCATCCAATACTTCTCCTTCTTCCCATCTCTTTTCCTCTGTGTTTGGCAGCCTTGGATATTTTAATAGCAACAACAATGCTAACAATCTGAGTAATGAATCATGCTTTGTGTCAATTTGTTGCTTTGGGAATGCAATTTTTGAGGGGCTCGGTCATTTTTGGCCATTTATAACCATTTTAATTGCTGGAGCTTAAAAAAAACTTAAAGGTAACATGCTACTAATGAATTCCTAATATTTAATGTGATTAAATATTTTAATAATTTTCACTATTAAAAGAAAGAAAAATGGGCTAAATAGGTTAGGAATAAGGAATATGCATTTCTCTTAAAATCTAATTTGACCTACAGTTACTTCCTGTTTTGGAGCTTTCCAAGTAAGAAAAATTCTCAGCAAAATACAATCTTCTGATTCTAAATGTTTCTTTCAGGATTGTTATTACGTTGAGAATCTAAAAGATATCTCAGGTTAGTTATTTTAACAAAGTTCAGTCACTCTAGCTTTGTTTTTTATGTGTTTATTTTTTTTAAAAAAAAAAAATCATTCTCATCAACAAACTTTCTTATAACATGATTGACATAATATATATTTGCATTATATGCATATATATTAATATTTTATCCAAATTTAATTTCTAGCGCTTGCTATTGTGACTGCATGCTATATCATACTTTTGTTTATGTGATGTTACCGTTTTTCTTCTCTAGCACTAAGTCACTAGACTGCTTCTAATGTGTAAAATCAGTAACAGAACATTTTCATGTCTGTTTTGTACATATATTATATACACTAAATTGCTAGTAGAATTGATATGCTACATTCACAAACCATCAGCAATACAACAAAATGTCTTGCTTGAGCATTAAATGCATTCAGTCATTTTCCTTTGCAAACTGTTGCCACCTTTGTTTTCATTCAGGTTCACATGGAAGATTGGAGTTGTTAGAATGCACTAATTTCAGTGCAAATAACATAACATTGAACAAAACTAAATATTTCTACAAGTTTTCATATCTCAAAATAACTCATGGATAGAATGTATTGCAATGGACAGGTAATAAGAATAAAGCTACATCTTTTACCAAAACAAAACACTGGGATAAGTCAGGGGGGTCCATTCAGGGCATTTAACACATGAGAGCCCTGCACTTAGTCTACACTATATTCAAACACTCACATAGAATCTTAATATCTATTTTGACCTTAAAAGGATCAAATTTCAAAAGGCATTAATGGAAAATGGAATGGACAGGAATTAGAAAAGGTGAAACTATTTATGTGGTTCACCTTCTACACTATCATGATAGTGTGCACATATGGGTTTATCTGAAGTTTTGTATAGTCCTCAGTGTATGGAGGAAAAGAATCAAACTGATATATGTTGAAAAAACTACTTCTGATGTTACGTGAATGGCTTTGGCATGTCACTCCCACATATAATAATACGCTGTAGGAAACTATGGAAATCCAGTCTCAAACGAGCAGGAAATTACTCATCAGAGATTTAAACTAAATTAAAACCAAACCAGCCTATTTCAATCTCATTCAAGTTGGAAAATAGATTTGGTATTTTTGGATGGGAGAGGTCTGATATTTTATTTAATATGCCAAGCGATTTGGAAGAGAAATGTTTTAACTTGTCTGAAACAACAGGTCTGACATGAAATCTGAAACTCACAGAATTTGGTTCAACTGTGACTGATACTCATCTGCTTCTGCAAGCAACATAGGTATGTTGGGAATTTGACGTGTCACCATGGCTTTCCCAGAATAATGTGTTTAAATTAAAGCTATGCTAAAAAAAAAAATCCTTTTAGCACTCTGGTTCATTTTGCTGCCTTACCAAAAGTTCAACTGGAAATATTTCTCTAAAGTAACAAAATGTTGGTATAAATATCAATAAAAAATTGAGTACAACCCTTGTATGAAAATCATTCCTTTAGAATGTCGAAATTGTAATGGAATGTTTAAAATATATGACAACACGAAGGGTTATTGCTAAATAAAATGTGAAAAAGTATATTTGCAAAGGATTGTCAGCAAACCTTTAATTACATTGGGATTTAGACAGCGTGGCTCTCAAACTAATTCCAATGAAATGCCCGTGTATAATGTGCTATTCCAAGCCTAACTGCATTACATTGAAACAGATACTATAAAGCTTAACTTTCTGTAGGGATATCTAGAAGTAAAACCTTAATCTCACTGAAACTGGTAGGATCAAACAGATTTAAATATAAGGGCAACAGCTTAGGTGGATGGTGGAGTTCTGCCAGAATTGGTCTACTGAACAGATGAAACTGAATCTCAAGCTGTAAATAGAACCAGAAAAAATAGAGAGATTTCTAGGAAAGCACAAAGAACCTTTCTGTAGATTTAGTGAAATTTTCCTTAGGGGTTGTGCACTTCCCTGACTTCATTCTACATCACTGAACAAAAATAACCATTTTAAAAATATAACCTCTGATATAGAAATGAAAATGGATGTCACATTATTTGTAGCCAACAAGTGTGTGGTACATACATAAAATAGTATTGCTTTTATGCTTATGGGTATAAAAATAAGAAAAATTAAATACAATTCATTATATGTCAGATTACTATGGGCATATACATTTTGAATCTCTGTATTTTATCATAATACTAATATTTATGGTTGGGCAGTGAGTGAGAATGTTTCTGTCTCCTTGTGGATTGTTCAGAAGAGGAAATTTTGACAATTGTCATATATCAGCAGTTCCTGACTTACAAATATCCGACTTACAAATGACTCATAATTAAGAACAGGTGTAAGACAAGAAGAAATGAGAGAAATCTACCCCTAGGAAGGGAAATGCAGTCCTGAAAGAGTTATCATGGGGAAAAGGTATCTCAACAGAAGCTGTATCACTAATCCTTGTTTCCACAAGAAGCCAAATTCTTCTGTTCAGAAGGTATCACCTCATTTTCTGTCCCTGTGATAACTGGATTTTTAAAATGTGGCTTGTGGAAACAATGATTTGTGAGAAAGCTTCAGCTGAGACAGTTTTCCCCCATAATAACTTCTTCAGAAGTGAATTTCCTTGTCTCACTCCCATTCTTAACTAGGAGTCATTTGTAAGTTGCATGTTTGTAACTCAGGGACTGCCTGTAGTTTAATACACCTGAGAATATTTTTTTTCAAAGTAGTACCTCATACCATCCACCCCCACCCACATTATTTTAGGAACTCGCTTTCTTATTTCATATGTAAAGATTTGTTTGTAACGTACATGGCACAAAAAATAAAAAATAGTTCCTAAGGTAACCCATCCACCAAATTGGAGAACATTTTCTCCTCCCATTTGATGTTCACAGCAACCTCATGGGGAAGTTTAATCTGAGAGAAACTGATCACCTATTTGAGCAGGGATTTCAATAAGGGCATCTGTTGCATCACCATTGAGTTAGTTAAGCCTGAGTTCACAGGCTATAAATGGTTGAATAACACCTTTTTCTAAAGAGGGAGGGAGTCTAATAATTTGATAAACCATTGTCCTCACCGCTGAATAAATTTGGGATTGCTCTCTAAAGCACCTTTGTCCTATATATGACTTCACCGTGGACCTCTACACGCAGGGCTAAAACGGCCCCATTTTGCTACTTTTGGCTGGGCCTGGACTGGGACTGCTGAGTGTCATCAGACGAAGCATGGCAGGCCTCTTCCACATTCCTCCCAAAGTGGAGGGGAAGGACCAGAAGGCACTTCCTTCACCACTGTGGAGAGGAAAGTGTGTTTTGGGTAGCTCCAATGGAGCTACCAGCACTTTTCCCTCCTTTTCCCTGTATGATGGGGAAAAGGGTGGCAGGGCAATGTGTGTTGCCACGCATTGCTGCCCTTTCTCCCATCTGATGGGAGAAAGGGCATCCCCACCATATAATGGGGGAAGAAGGGTTGGCATGCAGGGTGCCACAAGCTGCCCCATGCACTTTTACTTTCACCAGCAAGTGCAGCAAAATGGCACAGCCCAAAAGAGCCATGTGAAGAGATCCCATGACATTGCCAACTCATAAAGCAGCAGACATTACAATATTTATAACTCAAATCTTCAATTCTTGGACCTATAATCAAGAATTATTTGTAAATTACACTCTTTAAATTCCTAATTCTGTCCATTCTAAGCTTTGTAAATTAAGCATGACTCAGGCTCACCTTGTTGACAAGTTGTCCAAAAATAAGGACCATGCCGAAGATTGTGCTGTCAAACTTGTAGTTCTTGGACAAGCTGTGAAGGAGGTCTTAATATGTCCTCTGTAATTCATACTTCAAGACTTGCTCTTTACTGAGACATTAAATGCCAAGAAGTTTCTTGTTTTCAGACCTATAACCCAGATTATAATTTGAAAGAGGAAATGGAGAAGGAGGCATAGATATTGATTATCTGGGTTTGCTTTTTAAAAGTCTATATTAAAAATAAGTAGAATGGAAGTGAGATCAATTGGTACAATGACACAGATAAACGTATTACATATAATTGGATAGAGTGATCTCATATACATTCATTGCTGCCAACTGATTGTCTAACATGCTTTATATTTGTTTTGTTCCCTTTTGTTTCCCAGAATGGCACATACATTTGGCTTGCAATTTTCTTTGCAGCAAAGAAAATAGAACAGCAGGAAATGAATAATGAAGTACCACACTATTCTTAAGGTCTGAAGTATGTCCCAGTTGAAAGGTTTGGGAGAAAAATATATCGGTGAATGAATTTTAGGGGAAATGTTCTGTTCTAAATGCTCCCTGATTTTGTATTGCTGATTTTTAAGACAAGCGATGGAATAACAGTATTTAATATTTACACAGTATTTTTCCTAAGTGCTCAAAGAACATATATATTTGCTCCGCAATTCTTCTAACAACCATGTAATAAAAGCCAGTATTACAGATTAGATACGAGTGCTGTGCTGAATTTTCATAGGGTTTGGTTTTCTGTGTGAAAAGCCGTCTTTCAAGGGGTAGGAACAGCCTTATTTATTGACCTTCCAAATGCTTGGCGGCATGCTGCTGTTCCAACGTGTTATTTATTAATTATTTTATGATGTATTTATTGTATTTATATGACAGACACCGACATGTTTTTGGAGACTTGAACACTGCAAGGATGCATCTAGACTAATAATGAAGTTTGACACCACTTTAACTGCTATAGGATCATGGGATTTGTACTTTGATGAGGCACCAGCACTCTTTGGCAGAGAAGACCAAATACCTTGTAACACACCTCCCATGATTCCATGTCGTTCAGTCATGGGTGTTAAAGTGGTGTTAAACTCCATTAATTCTACGGTGTAAATGCACCCCTATACCACACTAGTTATTTTGCACTACTTTCCCTTTTTCTACATTATCTCAGACAATTAGGGTATATATAATTAATATGATAACATAGCTGGTTAGATGCTATGGATGAAATTTAAAGACTTGATATGGCCTTCCCATTGCCCTTAAGGAGGTGGGGATGGAGTCTGATGCTCCCAATTTTGCTATTGTCTTATTGCTGTGTGGTATG